AATGAGAAGTCACAACAGTGGTGGATCTATCTCTTTGTCCCTCTTTTGAGTCCCCTCCCCACCTTTTCTGAAGTGTATTCATCCTGCCCTTCTCACGGCCAGCATTGCTTCAACTATTCAGCTTCACGAATGCACGAAAAATCCCCTTTCCTTTCAACACAGACTAATGACTTTTCTGTACAGTCGCTTTCCTTAATGGCCCTTCTTTTTGCCAGTTTGCATGTCCTCAAGGGCACCTGTGTCTGAGAGGCTGTGGACGCACAACCGAAGCCCGCTCCCACTTTAACCCTGGGGGAAGGAGTGCTGAAGGTGGAGCAGGTTTGCTGCATCTGAATCGTTCTCAACTCCCCGACACAGAGCAATTAGAATAGATCAGCTGCTGCCCTTTTGAAGCAGTCCCTCTCTTGAAAGCACTGCATGCCTTCATGCATCCACACCCAGAGTGTATTGGATGCTGCAAGCAAAGCAAGAGCACTGCCTTGAAGACTGGATGCCTGATTCTGCGTTGCCCTGTAGAGCAGTTTACACCTAACCAAAATGCTCCCTAACCAAAATGACAGCACGTTGCTGGGATGTGAAGATCTACCTATGGTGCAAGGCACTGAAAAGAATCAGACCCAAGGGTATCACAGCCTCAGGCAAAATGGACCTACCAACTCTGGTACTATTGCTAAGAAGTATCCTCCAGTGGGTATTTATCAGCTCAGTAAAAGGCGAGTATTGAGACCTCGATCATCATCAGTTCCAGCCCCTGAGTAGAAGTTCTTATCATTTCTAGTGCCAGTTTAGACGTTTTGAAGCTGGGATACACCCAAAATTTATTTCCTTCTCATCCACAGAGAAGTGGACGTGCCTCACCTAATTACAATGTTATGGAGAACGTATGTTAAAGGGTGAGAAAAGGATGTTGCAGCAATCAAGACAAGGTGGTGGGAGTCTGGATGAGAGTTTCAGTAGTGTGGGTGGATAGGAAATGCGAGCTGTCCCTCGCTTGTCCTGTAGGAAATCCTTTTCTACACACCGCCCTGAACTGCTTTCGCCTTTTACCTGTAACTTGCTGTGGGGTTTAGAATTAAATTGAAGAACATGCTTCTGCCAGCAGGCTACAGTGCGATTCCTACCAGCCACTCAGTACCTTATGCAGACAGTGCTTGTACTGTCCAGGGCTAACACAGCTGCTCTGGGGGTGGAAGAGAGCTGCAGATCAATAGGAAAGGGAGATGAGGCGCCCACTCTCCGTTTGGAAATCCAGGCAGACTGTCCGTAGGTTACTCATTTGAGTCCCGTTTCTTGTTTTGGAGTTTTGTTGTTCTCCCGCCCTGGCAGGGGGTCGGGCTAGAAGATCTACTAGGTCCCTTCCGACCCTTAATCTATGAAACTATGAAGTCCAAAACAGTGGAGGAAGGAAGCCAGGGTAGCTGGAGAGATCTTCAAACTGTGCTTTCATTCCTATTCAGATCAAAGCAAGCCAGTTTCCAAAGAAATCACCATTCTCTTCCCTCTTCTCGAGGCCTCATCTCCAAGGCAGTACTCAGGGTAGTGTGGGGAGGAAGTCCTTTCTTCTGCAAAGGTAGACCCTTTCTATTATCTTCAGCTGGCAGGAATTCATTCAGAAGTCACTTCCCCCCCTACCTGTCACACTGTCATCTGTATCCATCACCACAGCTATTCCCCTGTTCAATGTAGGCTGCTTGGTGTGAGACATTTCCGGTACAGCTTTTGGCTGGCCCCTTTCCTGCTCCCATCCTGAAACAAAACAGCTGCTTCCACCACATCCTGTTTAACCCCCATGCAAGCTCAGCCATGGACTGTGAGCATCTCCCCTTTTGCTCTGGCTAATTTTTACAGATCTTGCAATGCAAACCCATGGGATCAGATGCATTGGGTAGGCTTTTCCCCAGCTCAGACCTCATACTCTACCCATTGCATGCTTGTCTCCTCCTTGCTCCCATACTACCTCCTGAGGTACCTCCTGCCATACCTCTGCCTAGTTGCTCTGCTTGTCTCCCTGCCAGTCAGAGCTGTGAGGACAGGACCTTCTTTCAGCTCTGGAGCCACTGGGATGTCGGGCAATCCCTACTCCCTTTCTAGTTCCATGGCCAGATGGAGTACCTGGGTAGGACAGTGAGCCCTGACTTGGTCCTTTTCTCATGATTTAGTGAAGGAAGAGCACTCCCACAGCAGTCATCTGGGCAGAACTCTGTGATCGATCCCACCTCTGCAGGCCACATCCAGAGACCTCTAAAAAGAGCAAGACTTTCTCTTCCTGGTCTTTGAATGGTACAGCATGCCCTAAACATCACTGCAGCATTTTAGAGGCTGCTGTCAGATTGAGAGATCAAACTCCCAAAAGAGTGAGTAGTCCCCTGGTTGGATTCGGGCCCCACACCTATCACAAAAGTATCCAGGCCAGTGCCAAGAGGGTGCAGATGACTCGTTAGCAGATTCCCACAGGAAGGACCCCAGGCTTCACACAACTGGGAGGAGAAGAGTTTGTGGGAGCAGAGCTAACCATTAAGATCTGAGAGATTCCCTCCAGAGGCAAAAACACTTCCAGGAGATCTACAGAGGAGTCAGAGGTACGATACCAGCATGTGTAGACATGCCCGAGTGAGTGGTGACATGGGCTTCTCCATTTGCTAGGTGCTCAGGTAGGTCTTGGGGAGCCAGGCAGGCTTATATAGCCCACAGGGACCCCCACGCTGGATCTGGGATGTGTACATCTGCTGAAATTCCCCCTCTGATGACAACGTGAATGTCCCCATTGGCCATAAAGGGTGTGTTTACACATCACCCTATGGCGACGTAGTGACACGCTACATCGCCATATGGCATGCTACAGCAATGTAGCAATCATGTGGGTCTGCACGTGATCGGCAGCTCTGTCACCATAGCAACACACTCCCCCGTTATAGTGTGCCACTATGGTGACATCATGGTAAAATCTAACCGTCCGCCATGTGCACAGCACAGTACAGGCACTTACTGCACTGTGCTTTAGTGCTTCCAAAGTACTTTTGGAAGTACTAAAGCGTGGCGTATTAGCAACGTCGCTGTACGGCCCTCTCTTCAAACCACCCTGCATGCCCTCTTCAAGCCAGTCCAGTTCCTCGTTGTGTTCGGCACCTGATATTACTGCTTACGTGCTCCAAGAGAAGAAAGCTCAGGCGTGGGACACAGATTAAAGCAGTGATCTGCCAAGAGGATGCACCGAGGTCAAAGCACAAGAAACAGACTGGGTTTTGGTGCCATGCACTGGGGCCAGCCAGCATCAAAATACATCCCTGCATTACCTGGAGCCCCCAGGGTGCTGCCGATATTTCAGCTGCCGGACTAGGGTCAAATCCTTCTTGGTTCACTATCCCATATTCCCCACTTACTACTCATAGAGGTAGGGCTCAGGCCTTTGTTTCAGCTGCAGCATGTGCACCAGTAGGGTGCCAACTGGCCAGGTGCACTGTGATAGTGCGGAGAAGGGAACAGCTGTTCAAGATCTGACCAGGGATTTGGTTGCCGTCTGCAGTGCCTTGTCAGCTCGGCTCCACATTGTCTTCCCATCCCCGGGAATTAGCTGCACTGTCACTTGCCTGCTTACCTCTGTGCCACCCTGCAGCAAGATACTGCTCATGCCATCTGGCTCCCAGAAGAGGGGGAGAGCCAGCGTGCATACAAACTGTGTTTTGCAGGCATGCAGAAGGATCCATCATGTGATGCAGGGGTGGATTTTAGGGGGCTTGAGTTAATGAGTAGGGATCAGCAAGGACAACTTTGATCTCCACACGTGTACTGATTTTACTTGATTGCACTGTATCTAGTGAAAGGAAAACAGCCCAGTAATAGCTCTTTCTTGAAAGGGAGGGAAGAAGACGACCAAAGACCAGATCCTTGCAAGTTCAACCTCACTAGACTCCACTGGACACTTTGGATAGTATCTAGTCACAACAGGCCAGTGCTTGATGTAGTTGGACAGTTTCCAACAGTCACCAGTACTTGGTGCTTCAGAGTAAGTGGCAACAGACCTGCCTCTTCAGGAAATTATTTCCTGATCCCAGACTGTTACTAGATGACCTGTTCTCTGAATAGGGGTGTAAATATCTCATATATTTCTTTTCCCTGTCTCAAGTAGCTGTTCTCGTTGCCCAAAAGACACCCAATTTCTTTGCCTCAGTGAAATCAAATGACCATGAGTTACTCTGGCTATTTGTCCATTGTGTGCGGCAATAATAGTCCCCTTTTCAGTGTCCGATTTCATGCTTTTCAGTTTGATTGAGCGTCTCCTTGTTGAGTGTTGTGATGGGGTAAAGCCACTATTTAGCAAAGCCATTGATAAAGCCTCTATTCGCCATAGTTCTCCCCTTTATATTATTCATTATTTTAGAAATGTCTGTCACAGCCCTTCTTACTCATCTCTTTTCTAAAAGGGAGAATCATCATCTTGTTCCTATTTGACCTAGTGCAGACTTTCCATCCTCCTCGCTGTTTTTACCTCGCATAGCCAAACCTCTCCTTTCTGGCACATCCACTGGGTGGTAGGGGCCCAAAACTGGGCATAGTCTTCCAGGTTCATTTTCTTAGAGCTGACTTTAGACTGTGAATGGAGTAGCCCTCACCCCCTCTTTGCTTCATGAGCTGATATAGGTCATTCTGGTCCACAGAAGCAAAAACTCTACTTCCCTCCCCATGCTGGTTCAGGGTTGTGAGCAAAGGTGTTGTGAGCAAAGCAAGAGCCCACTCCTCAGTGATCTGCTCTAGGGTGGGGAGTAATGGGTAAAAGTGCCCAAATCTACCAGCCTGGCCTCTTGGGGTACAAATATGAGGAGAGAAGTCCCATTCTTTTTTCTAACGTAGCATGGCTGTGCAATCAAGTGGACAGAGTAGGCCCCGAGGAATACAGGTACAGGGCTTGTTACAAGGTGAGCATTAACAGGAAATCAGTGTATTTGCTCTTATAACTGAAACCCACTCCTTCAGCTCACTGCTATTCATGTCTTCTCTTTCAGATTGGCTGCAAGGCCGCCGTGGTTTTCTTTCAGTACTGCATCATGGCCAACTTCTTCTGGCTGCTGGTGGAAAGCTTGTACCTGCATACCCTCCTGGTCATCTCCTTCTTTTCAGAGAGGAAGTACTTTTGGTGGTACATCCTGATTGGCTGGGGTATGCATCTCCTTGACAGTGAATGATAGGAGCACAGACTCAGGGTGACCCGGAGGCATCTCAGTTGGCATGTCTACAAGTGCACTTTAATGTGCATTAGCCTATTTTAATGTGCATTAACGCATCCCAAAAAACGTGCACTTTCACTAATGTGCACTGAAATAGGCTAATGCACCTTTTTCTGGTACCTCACAATGGAAGTACTAAATTTAATGCGCATTAGCAAAAGTGCATTAATGAACATGTAGATGCACCCAGTGTGTAGCATTGAAGAGGACAGAGGAGTTGTTTGTGTGTGACCCTTCTGCTGGGTGTATTAGTGGCATGAGGGCCACTGGTAACAATATCTAGGGGTCCTTTTTAGAATCAGTTGTAAATGGTTGGCTGCAACCGTATCTTCTCTTTGGGCTTATGGATTTCAAATGTAAACCACCTGGTCTAGGGATGAGTGGTCACCTGTAAAAGTGTTTCATCCTTCCAGCACCTGCACTCAAGAAAACTTGGAAATAAAAAGCCAGTAACACACCTCATTGGAGAAACCAGAAAAAATGGCTGTCTGCATAGTGAAATGAAGTCAGCCAAAACTAGAGCCTGAAGATACAACCACCCCTGCAGACTTTTATAGGGGCTACGCTGCCTGTAGAGGGCTCAGAGCTCTTCTTGGTGAAACAGCCCTGACCTATCTGGCATGAATCCACTTGGATACAGGGCAGTCAGATAGGCAGCCCAGGGAAGTCTGTATAGCCAGGTTGTGCTTCCATCTGCAGTTGCCAGATCAAGTCTAGATTTTTTTTTTTAAAGGGCTCTAGCATTTCTGCAGCTCTCAGAGGTAGTGCTAAAAGTCAGCTCCATGAAGGATCAGTACTGTAGGTGGAGAACCCAGAAAGAAAAAAACCTAGACCTCTCCAGCAGATTTCTTGCTCTTGTCCAACCAGAGTCCACTGCCTCTTTCCTCCAGATGATCATTTTCCCTCATCTAAAACACTCCACAATTTTTCTTCTATCCTTGTATACATCCATTCATATGCTGCATTGCATATCATTTCTAAACGCATACAAACCCCAAAGAACACAGCATAAAGCATTGTACTGAACAGCACTGGGATGAAATACTAATTTATGTAAATGAATTCTGCCAGAAGTCATTTTTCTCCTTTCTCTTATAGAAAAAGCAGGGTACTTCTTTCCCCTTCAAAACTACTGGCTCCAGGGCATATATGTCAGAGAGTAAAATTGGCTTCTATTTTCAATAGCTGGGTTGGGGTAATAATTAGGCTGGGGAAAAGTCTTGCTGGGAAAAGTGCAGAATACCATTGTGTCCCATACAGAAGTATGTACTGGAAGGAACAATCCTGTACCAGTAGGGGATTAATTACTTACCTTAATTGTAATTTCTGTCAAAACCAATGCGAGTTGCACTCCTCTTCACAGTGTGGAATAGGGACCCTTTTCTGTATTGTAAGGAGGCAAGGCACATGTGGACAAACCTGGTTTCAGACTGAATCAGTCCAATTAGATGCTTTCTAAATGATCCGTTGGACCTAATATTGCTTTTGTCTGAATGCTGTGGGAGGGAGAAGATGTTAGAGGAGGTCTAGTTTTGAATAACAACAACCTCAAAGATGGGCTTTAATAATAGGATTGGAAGAACATGCAGTTTTCCTCAGTCCTTATGTTACATTTAGGGAATAGTCCTTCGGCCCTTATTCATGTGAATAATAGATAGATAGGTATAGATATATATCTTCGGCCCTTATTCATGTGAATAATCTACACACACACCAGTCTGATAGAATAGATCTATAGATTGCTTGGGCAAGTAAAAAAAACTCAGGTAGGCTCAATCCAGCAATTTGGTTCTATGTCAGGTACGAGTAGGGGCATTGGTTTCTACGTGTTTCATCGCACTGTTCTAATGGTGTTTTATAGGCAATGCTAATACCTCTATTAAACGTGTAACTTTAGCTGATACATCCATAACCCTGCTAAAGTACTAACACCAGCATGTTAACCAGTTGAGACTTCTTGAACTAGCTTCCAACATTCATCTTATTATGTATCAGAAAGCAAAAATATCAAATGAAGGAGGCAGAGACATCTGGGTCTGGAAGGATGCTCAAATGAGTAGTGACATCCTGGCATATGCTTCCAGAATTGTTGCCACTGTTATCCCTTGTTTGTACTAAAGTGGCATCCAGACATAGACCATAGTGTAAAGTGCTTTAAACAAGAAGAGGGTTCCTACCCAAAAGAAGCCGTGTAAGACAGGAGATACATGGCTGGAGGGCTCTGTCTATATAGACAGATGGACAGGGGTAGGAAGACAGTATGTTCAGCCTGTCAGGCAATGATCTGATGCACCATTGTTGTATAATGGCCTAACCATTGCCGAAGGTCTTAGAGGCATCACAGATGAAGAGAGTTTTAAGAAGGGATCTGGAAAGAGACAATGAGGAAGCTTTTTGTTTTTTCCATATACAAGAGTGAAAGCTTGAGAGAGAGCACCCAGGCGTTTGTTTGAAGATCTAACAGATGAGCATTGAAGTCTGGTGCCATTGCTACACCAGGCATTAACATCACAATAGCACATGAGAGATGCTTGTGAGACGCAGATAGGTCCTGAAAGGGGTTGAAAGAAGCAGCCATGCCATTAATATTACTCTTCTTCTGACAGGTGCCCCCACGCTGTTCATCACAGCTTGGACTGTCACCCAGATTCACTATAACGACGAGAGGTAAGCCTATGGGTTCACCTTCACTTCTTCCTATTTCAGACACGTGGAAGGAAAATGTATCCTTCTCAACAGACAAGCCCAGGTTCATCTTAATAAGAAGGAATTGGGGAATGTCTTGGAAAAAACGCAGCTCTTGTTTTAGCATCTATGGGCAGCGATGAAAGTATAACCATGCTAAACAAATGACACAATTTAAACAATGTATGCTTAAATGGGGAAAAGAATTATCTTTTTTTTCAAGCACAGGACTGGGATTGAAAAGAGGGCAGGACTCTGCTGCCTAGATTTCTCTATGACCTTAGGAGAGTCACTCACCATCCCTGTAGCTCACTTTCTCCTTCCGGTCACAAAGCCAATAATATTAATCTAACTTCCAGGGTATCGGGGAGGTGGTCCACACTCAATTAATGCTCCTAACAGGTTTAGGCAGCCTTGTGTACAAGGTGCTTCAAAAATGGAAGTTCTTACTGAGTGTGTTAGACAAATACATTCCGGGCACAACACAGTTGCTAGCTTTATTGACATTACTAGTGCTAATTTTTGGACGCATTTGTCCCATTAGATCAAATTCTTTCCCACAAAAGGGTTGTGGCACTCCTGTAAGAGCCAGTAGCAGTCACACTTGTTTATTGGGGTGTGGAGTTTGGCTCTAGTTTTCCACAGAGTATTAATCCCAAATGGAAGGAGAGCAGGAAATGCTTTCTAGTCTCCTAACCCAGCCCTTCCACTTCAAGTACTTGAAACCCCTCAGCTTCAAGTACTTGAATCATTGAAGCTCATTCAAGTAATGATCGCTTCTAGGAAGTGAGTGTCCTTATCACTACTATTTTGGTATCAGAGAGCTTGTTCCTCCCTTCCTGTCTTGTTCATTGTACAGCTGCCATCACCTTGAGTACCTTCTCATGTCCTTCTGCTTTCCTACCAGTATACCCAGGGGAGCTCTGTTAGCATGAGCCAGCTATCTTCCCATTCAATCCTTGGGCTGAATCCACAGCAGGCTAACTGAAGGTTACACCTGACCAAAGATGCCACTGTGGGGGATGGATCTGCAACGTGCATAGCACCCTCACTATGCATTTCCCCATCCGCACAGACTGAGCAGAGCACAAAGATGCAAACAGGATCCAAGACCTGCTCTTGGGCCCATAAATGTGAAGGAGAATCTAACCCAGGGGGTATCCAAGCTACTCCTCACTAACTTCCTGGGGGCCTAAGTAGTGTACAAGGCATGTGTGTGTGTCCACATGGGCAATTAGCACGCTATAAATCCAGATCCTATCTTACACCTCACAAAGTTCCCTGAAAGGACAAGCTCAAGATACTGCTGCTTGCCCATAGCCATGCATTTGGAAGGGGGTTGTCTACGCTGCTTTGTGCCGATCCTCTTTGACCCTTTCTTGGCCTCCTCAAAGAATTAGGTGCCAGGCATTCTTTTAGCCTGCCGTTGTGTGCACTGGTGATCTTGAACTGGTCTCCTAAGCTTTCTCTCTCATTTCTGCCTATGATACATGGACATTATGAATATTAATCAGCTATTAGTTCTGAAGCACTTGGAGGAGGAAAAGTGATGCTGCTGATGATGATTATCCTCTATTCACATTCTTTTCTCTCTTTGGCCTTAAAATCTATTTTGCCCGAAACTGTATGAACAACATGGTTCACTGGCTAGCTTATGCCAATGCCCCCCTTGTTGGAATAGTACACTCCTTATATTTGTATAACAGGCCGTTTAAGCAGTTCATACTCTTTATATTTGTATAACAGGCCCTTTATGCAGTTGACCTGGTCGCGTGCATTCTCCTAAAGTGGGTCAGAATTGCGGGAGCTCTCCGGGGTCAGTTCAAAGCTGTGTAAAAATGTCTCCAGTTGAAGTTCACATGAGTTTGACCCTCCAGGAGATTTGCTTTTAGTATTAGACACAAGCTCAACTGAACTTGTGTTTTGCCCGACGCATCGTTAACAACTACAAATGCGCCCAAGGTTGTTGGGAACTTAACAAATCTAGATCCTATTTGGCAACCCTGATTACCCACCCTAGATGCTCCTATTAATATCATCCCTCTATTGGCATCTTTAGTAGAGTGGCTTGTAGAGTATGTCTTTGCAGGCTTCTCCATTAGGAAAGCTGCAAAGTCATTACCAAGAATGATCCTACTGCCAAATCAAGGTTTCAGAGCTGTGCCTCGCAAGCCCAGTGTAACCATTCAAGCATCGAATAAAAAGCTCAGCCTTCCAGGCACAATAGCAGATGACTCACAACCACAATCATAGAAGTCCTTTCTGGCTTTACTATCCACGCACCTAAGCTTTGAGAGGCAGGTTGGTTGGGATTTGCAGAACAGCAACTGCCTGTTGGGCATCTGATGAACCACTCTGGGATTTTAGGGCTTCTGCTTACAGTGGCAAACATTTGGCGAGAAAATAAGGCATCTCCCTTCAGTCAGCCAGGTATGCCCATTTGTTAAGCTTCCCTAAATAAACCTATGAAGATATGTAGTAACGTGAATCTGTCAGTAAATATTTAATTGCTACCAGATACAAGAGTGGTGAGCAGATGGACTTTGAAATCAAGAATCAAGGTGGCTTTCTTCCAAGCATACTCTGTATCAGAGCTGTCTAAATGGTTCAACCACGGTCGACCAAGGGGCTAAAAATTCAAAGCAACCAGTGACGGCAGTGGTAATCCTCATGACTGCTGGAGATGATGGACTGGTGGAGCCAGAACCCAGGGGGTTAATGCCCCTGGCAATTAGCGTTTACAGGTATAGCTCCCCACTGAGGCCACCTTTCAGTGGTTGTGGTGCAAGTGGTAATGGTATTAACCCCGTGAGTGCTGGTCACCCCAACCCCTAATTTCCAAGTCAAAAATCCTGTTGGGGACACTTTCAGAGGCAGGACCAGTGGTAGGCGTGTGGTCAGCATACAGGAGCGAACACCATCATCACTTGTCCTGCCACCAGACGTGGGTTGTGCATCCCACAAGTAGCCTCCAGGTCCAGATCCAGCTCACCATCCCAAAGGATTTGGACAGCCCTGCTCTCTACTGTAGACGTATAAGGAGTATAAACAATGTGCTTATTTAAAAAATAAGCAGAGCTGTAAAAAAATGAGGGGAAAATGTTGAAATTTTTCTTCCCTGAAATCCTAGCCAAACTCAAACAGCTATTCAAAACTAGGGAAAGGCAGCATTTTCCTCTGTTCAGGTATTGAAAAGGTGTTGTAAATCCTAATTTTTCCACACAAAAAAATTTTTAAATGCCATTGTCAAGAACCTATGTCACAAGACATAGGGATGAGTCTTGGCTCTGCTGAAGGTAAGGGAAGTTTTATTGTCAGCTCCATCGAGCAAGAATTTTGTGGGCTGATACTTGACTTTGCTGAATGCACATCCTATCCAGGAAGCTTTGCATCTGCTAAACTGGTAGCTTCACAAATCGGAGGCATTTGTTGTGTTACCGCGTCGTGTCCTGGCTCTGCTCTTTGGGGCTGATTTGCGTTTGTTTGCTTCCAGGTGTTGGGAGAACATGGTCAGCTCCGGATACTGGTGGATCATCAAAACTCCTATTCTGTTTTCTATTTTGGTAAAGTATCAGCAATCTCTGCTGGCTGCAAAGCCTTCTTTATTGAAATCTCTTTGCCCAGGGGATGCATACATGGGCGCTCTCTAAACACAGTGGAGAAAACAGGCTGATTAGACAGCAGCCTGTACCTGGTGCCTCGCTGATGAGGGTGAATTGCCTCTGGGCCATAAGCCAATCTCTGACTAATGGGGGTTAAACAGTAATTTTCCTTAGCAGCCTGTTCTCCCACAGTTTGTTGCACCTTTGTGAGACCTGTAGCAGGCGGGCCATCTGAGAGGAGGAAGGCTTTCACTGAAGGGTTTGAAGTGCAGGTGAGACAAATATTTGACTAGGATGCTTTAGACAGATAAGACCCTGCAAGGGGCTGAATTAGATGTAGTCTGCACCCTTCCAGCCCCCCTATATTTGTATGGTCCTATGAAAGGGATTGCAGCTAGCTCATACAGTGATGGATGGAAATGTAAAAACAAAATCCTTTAATAAAGCAGAGGGAGAAAGCTGTACTGCAAAGGTGGTGGAACTGAATCCCAGAGAAAGAGGTATCGTGGCCCGTTCAATGCATGTTACCCATACTCTGAGAAAGGAGGACACGCACTATTCAGAACAAATTAATTCCCAGCAACACATAGAGCAATCTGCCTGTCTGCTTAACAGCTGGATCACTGATGCATGCACACATGGCCCATAGTGATCAGCCTGTTACTTGTAATGAAGCAGCTCCCTCTCTCAAAATACATGATGACGAAGACATGTCGGAAGCAGGTTGTCTGCCCCAACAGATCAACCCTGATCCCACCTCTGTGCTTTCTATCAGACCCCTCATTTTTCACCTCTTCTGTACATTTCTCCCATAACCATTCTCATTTTCTCTTGGATGCAGGGCTTCCCTTTACCATTTTTTTTCTTGTTTCACATACAGACCTCAGCCCAGGCTTACCTTAAGGTTTGTAAAGCTTCTCTGATGGAAGATGCCTGTAGGATTTGATAACAAAAATGATCACTCTGAGGTGGCATTTTGCATCACCTAGTAGAGTCGAGGAGGAAATCAGATTCCTGCTATGGGTTTCAAGGGCCATTTCTTGAGGACCTCAGTTTAATTCCCATTGAAATCATTGGGAGTCTTGACTTCTAGCTCCTTCAATGGCATTTAAAGATAACCAGGCAACCCTAGGACATTTCTGAAAAGCCCTGTTCATTCGATCCCTATTGAAGTCCATATATTTTCTCCATTTGCCTTCGTGTTTTGTGAGCCAGGACCTGATTCACAAAATCAAATGAACTTAGTCCATTTTTGCTTTGATTTTCCACAAACCCAGGACAACTGAACTCGGGGAGGGAAGGCAAAGCAAAGCAAAAGAAATGAAGAGTTGTACAAAACAAGATCGGTCTTCTGCATCAGTTCTGATTGTGCCACAGACTTATCATTATGCTGTTCACAAAGCAGCCCCACCTGCATCAACACCCCTGCTTTTAATAATCCCTTCTTGTTTTATTAATCTAGCTACACTGAAATGAAATCCTGAGCCTGACACCCATCAAAATACATTACAGAAAAAAACTGCAAATGAGATTTTCCATTTCTCAATATAAATCTTATCAGAAGAAATACACCCCGTTTCCCTGGATGGGAGCGGGGTGAGATTTTTGGGGGGTTTTTAAAACCTTCAAGTGTTTTTTCTCAGCACCAAACAAGCCCCATCTGTTCATACTGATTTTATTCAGTACCCGTTGCAGAAATCAGTCACAAGTTGTCACCCATCCTGTCACCGCCATCCATCTACCTAAGCACTTTGCACTCGCATCAAGCTTTTCCTCTTCATTCTCAGCCCTCCTAAATTGACTCAGGCAGTGTTTTAAGCCACAAAGCAGCTTAGAAAGTAACTCAGATCTTAGGTTCACTTACTACATGCTCACACACTGATTAGAGTGGGCTTTCTATGTGTAGATGTATATGCTCGCTTGATAATTTTTCCCTTTCCTCCCCCTTCCCAGTCTGAGGCAAGTCATTATTTTTATAGGCAAATAAATGTGGACAGAAATTGTGATGAGCAGCACGGAGAGAGAAGGGCACTTAGCTACTGCAACAGCTTAACCGAGCGGTACAGTAAATTCTCCATCCCATAGAGCTTTTATAGCCCGAGTAGATGGCTAGCTAGGAGATAAGGACTCTAGTTTATCCACAAGAGATTGGGCTGAATGTAGAATCGAGTGACCTGCATTGTGCAGGAGATCAGCCCAGATGATCACAGTGGTCCATTGTACCCTTTGGATCTCTGAATCCATAAAAAGAAGAATCAGTTGGACTTTCATTTAGGTTAAAGCAAGGGGGGGTTATACTCAGTTCCAGGCCTTGCAGGTCTTCCCTGCTGTGTTTTACCTCCTCAACGGTGGCAAGAAGTAGCAGCATGGTTCAGTGGGAAGGGCACTAGTCTGGAAGTCAGGGCATGCTGAGGCCTGGTCTTGATGTCTGCTATATGGTGTTGGGCAACTTATGCCTCCAGCTCTATGCCTTAGTTTTCCCCATCTAAAGAATGGGGCTAAGGTGGCTTGGCTACTTTGAAGGAGACAAGGTGTTTGGATGGAGGGCGCTACCTAAGCCCTAGTTATTATTTTGATATCCAAGGAATAGCCTAGTCTAGCCTTGTAGGACAGGCCGCCAACCAGGTTTATGGCCTATTGACCAAGCTAGCCAGCATGTATGTGAAGAAAGCATGCCCTGTGGTATAGATTAGGATCCCAGTTACCTTTCTACCAGACACCGCTTCATATACTTCCTGACTCCCTGCACTGTCCTCAGCCTTGGAGATGCCCGGCAGTGGGTCTCCTGTCACCAGCTACCGTCTCTCAGCTAACCCAAAGGCTCCTTTCCTGCCCCGCCGACGGCACCCCCCGCGCAGCAGGACGTCGTGCAGAGCTGTGCTCTATGGGTTTGACATCATCATACTTGGGATGTATGTCACAAAGTCCCAAGAAGGCTGATGTCAGGCCCAAGATTGCTGCCATCCTGTCTTGGTTTACCCTGTGCTCACAGTGGGGTTCTCCGCTCATGGCTTTTTAACAGCAGGTCGCTCCTTGACCAAGTCATTGCAGTGAATGGAATCCCCTCTAACAGCTGGTTCTTTCCCCTGCAGAGAGGGATTGTGGGAATTTACAGTCCTTTTCCCTTTCCTTTCTTCCCTCCACGCTAGGTGAACTTCATCCTCTTCATTTGCATTATCCGTATCCTCGTCCAGAAGCTGCATTCCCCAGATGTCGGACGCAATGAAACCAGCCAATACTCGTAAGTCCCGGCCTCCTTTTTTCATGTGCATCGTACAGCACCGGTGAGACTGTTGGGCTGGTCTGCTTGTTTGACCAGATGCATCCTATCTGGCCAATTTGACTGATTAGAATCCAAATCAATTTGGGTCGATTAATGCTGTCTGAGACAATTAAGATAGAAGATATGCGGAAGTATCTTAGCAACTTCACTTAGGTGGGCCACGAATCTTACTCCTAATAAAGAAATGAGCATTATAGTGATGCTTCAAGGCAGACAAATCAGCACTTGGCTTGTAGATTCACCAGTCACTGGAACATAGGACCTACCCTTTCTTGGGAATTAGGATCAGTGGGCCCAATTTTCACTATTGCAGACCTTCAGAGTCAATGTGGAATCCACAAAACTGCCAATTTATCATGCCGGGGAATTTCTCCCTAAAAATGCATTCACAGTAGCCAAATGTAACCGCATAGTTTTAATCCTCATTTATCAGGAGGTCTTTGGGTTTCAGCCTCACCTTGGGCTCAAAATGCTCAGCACGGCAAGGATCTGCTTTGTCTGGTAACTGCTAGATCACAGATTTTGGCTAAAGACCCAGAGTTTAGGGGGAATTCATCAGGATCTCATTGCTGCCTCCAAAACCAAAGGTTTTTGGGCAGCTCTGTACCGTGAGGCACAACAGTGATACTGAAAACGAGAGAAAACAATGGAGGTGACCCACAAGCCGCAGTGAAAAGAGTCCTTAAGCTTTTCTGTTATCTGGAATCCTGTAGGTAAGATTTCTGGTGGAAAATCCTGGCTTTTGACCTTAATTTTTCCATCCTGCAACTGAAGTCCATTGTTTCCAGTTCTGTCATCACCGCCTCGTGTGCATTATTGACCTGTGTCCTGCTTATTCCATCCCTTTAATGTATTCATTGTCAACTAGCACACCTCACCCTCAGATTACGACAGCCCCGTTGAAGGGCTAAGATTAAATCAGCATATTGAAATATGTCCTAGAACTAAAAGCATGGCCACAAGGCCATTGTGGGTCCTTGACAGGGCAACCGAGTCCTGTTTATCCCCATGGGAGTTCTTTGTGCGTATATACACCCCCAGACAGCATTAGGTCCTAGTAATGAAAGAGGCAGCACTGTGCTTTTTAATTTTCCCACAGGGTTAATTTAGGTGAGAGCTACCAGGATGTCCTGATTTTACCCAAGGAAATAAATACAGAAGAAGAAATGCTACTACAAGCTTCCCCACACTGTTTGCCAGTCGGCCCCTAGAGAGAGTGCCTCTTAAACCAGTATGACTTCTACAATATCTACCCCCTCTTAAACCAATATGACTTCTACAATATCTACCCCCCACTTCCCCCAGCCTGGAAAGGCTCCATTAGTTTAAGCAGTGCTTTCCACTCATTTTAATCACAGGGCAAGCCTTATGGCCAATGCAGACAGACTCCCCTGCCACCTGTAACAGTGCCTGTTGGGATAGCTGGGCATCTGTCCACTCCAGCATCTCTCATACAGGTGTGCAAACCAGTGTGAGCTACAGCAGGTTTAACGCATCCACCCCAGAAATACAGCAGTAAGGATGCTCTGAGAACACCCCTGGCACCACGCTCACGACCCTAGCTGAAGTGGTGCCTTGGAGATCCCTTAAAGCAAGAGCCAGGGGACAGGGTTTATTGCTTCAGGAGCAAGACTAAGCACCCTGCTGCTTCCAAGCAGGCACTCCCTTCCTGCTGACCTCCTGATCATTTCTGTTTAAATCCCTTTAAAAATCAGGTATTTCCAGTACTGCTGCCAACCACAGGGGTGAAGACTGGATGACCTGAGAAAACTATTCCAACCCCATTTTTTCATGATCTGCGGGAATTCTTCCTGCCAGGGCTGTAATAAGACTCTGCTTTCACTCTAAAGAGCACCGGGGTCTCAGCAGTCATTCCCTTTCTCTTCCCAACACTGATATTGAGGTTGACACGTTGACAGCATCTTTCAATTCTTGCCAGGTCCACTTCAGCCCAGGGTTGGAAGCCCAGATGCACCGCTGACTCTCTCATTAACACTCCAGGCACTGAGCTGTGCATTAAATTATTGCAAACTGTAAAGGAGCTCTTCATTAAAAATGCCTTTTGAAATCACAGAGCATCAAGCAGCAAAAGAAGAGCAGCAACAGAGGTGCAACAGAGGAGCAAATGCTTTGTTTTCTGTAACAAGCAGAGCTAAATGGATCTGACTGGCACTCTCTGCTTTACCACCTTCACCATGGGAGTTATTCAAGTGCCTTCCAGCTGTGCTTTAAAGTCTGTCATATATGTTCATTTTGTCTCATCCCCTGCTCAGAGGAGAAGGGGTGTGTCTGCTACCTAGGTCTTTGGTACATATTCTTTTTTCATGCATCTCTTCCTGTGTATGTCTTAGAGAAATCAGCTTAAAGATGGGCACCTGTCATTTGGTGGGGAAGGCAGGGAGGTTTGTGCTGCTGTATAGGTTCAGGGGCAGTTCATACCACAATCTCAGCCCCCCACAAAGCTCTGCACAGACTAGTTTGCCCCCCCAGTAAAAAAAAAAAAAAAAAATCCATTGTGCCTAGCCATTATTGATCATGAGAAAGCTTTAGGTGGTCTTTTAGGTGAGACTGGCCAGGGAGCGCCTGGAAGGTAAGGAATAGGATCTTAAACTTGACTCGGACAAGTCCCTGGAAATGCATCTCCCTGCCTCTCCCCCTCCAAATATTAATCTTGCCTAAGATCTGTCACCACCAGCTACTTTTCACCTAGGTGCTGACTTTAGCTGGTTTTTAGGGGCCTGAGATAAGGTCTGGGGAAGCCAATGTGAGTCTTCACTTTGCACCAGGCACTGTGAAAGCTGGGAAACTGTGTTGGCAGACAGCATTTGGCCCAAAGGGGTACATACCAGGGTCTTGTCTGAATAATGTTGGACCATTAGCCCTCCCATGTAATCCTTTTAATTCCTATTAATCATGAAAAAATGGGTGTTGAGGGCAGAGGGATGACTGAGATGTTGTAGCTGTGGGGGTTGCAGGTGGAAAAACTATTGCTCAGGACGACGTGGCTTTGGTTTCCATTTCTTCCATTAGTTGCTGGGAGGCGCAACAGGACTGGTTCGTGATCACAGGTGCCAAGTGCCTCTTGAACTGCTTTAATTTTTATATTTCATTTGACATTAGTTGGTTTCCCACAGTAATTAGGTGTGTGAAATGATCATCTGCTCTTAATTAGGGCTCTGATTATCCTGTTTGGTGCCATTACACTCTAATGCTGCTCATCCTCTCCTTTTGGAAACGTTTGCTGCTCCACAGCCTGTTATTATGCCGGGCTAAACATACCATTTCTTCTTCAGAGCCTATAGTTTGCAGAAATCCCAAGCAATTGAAGACAAGAATGGATTACACTCGGCTTGTAGAGAGGAAAAATGATCTCAGGCGGGAAGGAGGAAAAGACCTCCCCTAGAGTCAACAGGCATAACCATGTCATGTTTTATTATATCACCTCTGCCTTTGAAACTACCAGCCTTCTGCAGGCGGAGGGCAAAGACAGCTAATTTATTGCTGAGACTCAATTAATGGCATGCACGTTGCAACAATGATTATTAGCGAGGGGGAAATGAAGCCCATAAAAATCAGCACGAGCCAGGTCCGCAGCTCATGTGAACTGGCGGGGCTCTGTGGAAGTCGGTGGAGCAATGCTGGGTTTTCCCCAGCTGCGGGTGTGTACGTTTATTATGCAGGCAGCTCCAAATCCCCAAAGGTATTTAAGGATTTCGGTGGGAGGTAGACACCAAAATACCTTTGAGGATCTGGGCTTCCATTCCTTTCCTGTAATATTACCAATTGCCTACGCTGTCAGAGGTTTGAAATGCCACCCAACGCACAGGCTGAATTTAATTTCATAACACTGAGCTTCTCCTGAAAGACCCATCCAACCTCCTTGTAGCGTAAAGACAAAGTACTCCAGCTTTAAGACCGCAACAAAATGTCCCACTGCCTTATCCTGTTCCTGTCTCCCTTCCCTTTATGGCTTGTGTTTCTCTTTCTAACAGGAGACTCGCCAAGTCCACCCTGCTGTTGATCCCACTTTTCGGCATCCACTATATTGTCTTTGTCTTCTTCCCAGACAACTACAAAGTCGAAATAAAGCTCACCTTTGAGCTTGTTCTTGGTTCCTTCCAGGTAAGCTGCCCCTCATGAATAGCCTGAGGCCAGGGAAGAACCGGTCGGGTCTGTCATGGGCTGGAGAATGGTAGAGACTCATAGAGAAACAGGGTTGGAAGGGACCTCCAGAGGTCATCTTGTCCAGCCCCCAGCTTGAGGCAAGATCATCCCTATCCAAACCATCCTATCAAAATGCATGAACTAAACTGTTAGCAGAAATACACCATTTCTGGGCTGGTGTTTTCCACTCTCCTTCTGCCTTTCACCTCTGGAAATCCCAGTCTGTTTTAGCAATTATAAGCCAAGTCTTGTGGTCCTTATTTAGCTCCCACTCAGGCCAAGTGGCTTGGGATGGGAAGCAGAATTTCTGTTGACGTCAGTGAGACTTTTACCTGGTGGATTTTGACCATGAGATACCTATATACTCAAATACACACTTTGCTTCACTTTGATCAACACTGGCCTTCCACCGTTAACAAAGACACGGATTCTGCATGATGATTAGTGCTTATCCATGCCCTTCCTCCCGTTGTATCTGTTCATACCTGTCTCAGACAGTTTATGTTCTTCAGACTTAATGAAAGAATCCATGTTTTATCACACACTAGGTCAGGGGTTTTCAGCCTGTGGTCTGCAGACCCCTCGGGGTCACAGACAATGTCTAAGGGGTCCACAAAAGATGACTATAATCAATCAAAAATATGTGAATACCCACACTTACAATTCAAAGGGGCCGCAGCGCCATTCAAAATTTCCAAAGGGGTCCGCAGCGCCATTTAACATTTTTTAGGGGTCCTCAAATGGGAAAAAAAGGTTGAAAACCACTGCGCTACGTGATTGATAAACTTTGATCAGCAGTGAAATGGTTAAAGCCAACATTAAATTAATAATTCTTTGAGAGCTAAATTAACTCTTTCTAGAAGTGAATGGGACAGGTCAGAGCTATTGCATAAAGGAGACATTTGTTCTTTATGCAATAGCTAGTTTAAGTAATAGGTTTCTGTTTCCAGTGTGATCACAACTATAAGTAGTAGAGAATGACTATGTTCGTATGTAGTTAAAAGCTGAGATAATGGACAATAAGATGTTACCCTAAAAGAAGTCACAGGATCATCAACTGGATGTAATAAACCATTTTAAGCCCCATGTTGTAGCCACAAAAAACAGAAGTCTGCCCCAAACTTAGGCACTGCATCCAGTAAGCACGGTGAAGGCACAGCAGTTTTTGTAGTCAGAAACAGGCAGGGTAGAAACAGGGCTGATATCGCAAGCCAAGAGACCATGTATAGCTAGTTTAAGGGATGCAGCCTTTGCTGCGATTCCAACGAGGATCGCAAACTGGATTGGGAGCAGGGTGTGCTAAGCTGTCCGCCTGGCAAATTTGGCAGGCCAGACTAGCGTCCTCAGACGCTGTGCAGTTCCTCCTAAATCGAAAGCAGTGCAGCCACATTGTATAACACTTTGGGTGGGCTAATTAGCACGGATGAGTGAGAGTCAATCAGCCTGACCCTGCACTCATTAGCCAAACAACTGCACAGACCCAGCCACTGCACAGGCCCACCTCTGATGCTTTTGATTTAAGGGGCTGTGTTCACAGAGCCATGTTTCATGGCACTGCTGCCTGACACATCTTTGCCTCCCCAGTTTGCACTGGAGGGGGCTTAGACATTTCTTGGCAATGTGTCCTACATCCAGAGTCATGGCTGCAGGTAGAGTCCTAGAAAAACACCGCATCCGGCACCCTGCTCAGGGAAGGAGCACCCCTGTCGAAAGCTTCTCATCCAAGCTGTGTTTTAATAAAGTTCAATGTGACCTTGAGGTTTTAACACCTGTTCTTTCTCGCCTCTCTCTCAGGGCTTTGTGGTGGCTGTCCTCTACTGCTTCCTCAATGGTGAGGTAAGAGCAGCTTGTAATGAAGAAGAAATGGGTGCGTGAGGAGGGCGCTCTGAGAAGTGCTCCATCCCTGACCTCAGCAGGTCAAGGAACAGGTCCAAATGAATCGCATGTCAGAGGAAAGCAACCAGCCCATTTCTCTGTCTTGGTTTCCCTGCTCTGCTCAGCAAAGACATGGGGTTTTGCATGTTGATTTTAGTGTATGTAGCACCCAGCTCTTCATTTATCCACAGAGCAGTCAGCATCAGGGGGTTTCCCCATATCATCCTCCCAAGATCCCTCAACTCTGACCTGAAGTGGGGTGAGGCTGTATTTTAGTTTCCAATCCCTTGTCTCTCCACCTAAAACCACTGGGACTTTTGGCCTTGACTTCAAGGCAGCAGGATCAGAACCACTGCCAGCTTGGAGACTAGATAGTATTGTAGCCCTGAGTACCGACCCACCGCCATCTGGACTGAGACTCCGCAAACTCATTTCACAGAGCTGCTGAGTCTGATGATCAGAGTTGGTAAAAACTTTTAGCCATTACCAACTTGAACAATAAACTCAGCAGTGACAGGAAGAGAGCAAGTGTGAAACTTAGATCTGGATTTGCATTTCATCTCTCCCATCAGGTCAGGTGATTAGCTTAGATTTTACTCCTGCGCCATCTTTAATGCTGCTTCTAGCAATTCTAAGATACTTTTAACTCTCTGTATACGTGTATGCACACACACACGCACACACACACTTTCTACTGCGCTTCCTGACCAAAGTGTGCAAATCATCCTCTAATTCCTACCATACTGCACCAGCCCTCCCTGCAACGCTACGTGGACATGCAGTAGCTCTAGGTAGAGTCCCATGGTTGCTGATTGCTTGAATCTTGATACAAAGCCCCAGGATGTGAATGCAAGGCCCTCTGACATGCATCAAAATGCTCAGCAGCAGCACTCCGCAAACCACGCTGTCTTTTTAAAAAATAAGCATTTCTTTGAGGACAAAGAGGCTGTGGAAGAAAACTGTTTCCTAACTATCTTCCCAGAGCACAAATCTGTTCTTTCTGGAGTTCAGCAGTCAGGCTCCTGATAGCACTTCTGTGTATTGCCCACAGTTTATGGCTCAGCTTGGTCAAACGTTGGTGATTCGTCCCGCTGCTAGTTACTGTGCTAAGTGCTGCTAATGTTTTGAGGAGCCAGAAGTTTTTATCAGCTGGTGTGAAATCCATGGCCATTATAGAACAGCCCCTTCTGGCATTAAAATATAGGAGGGGCCTCCTTGTCTTTCTCCAGGCTCATAAGGTTTTCCCAGTGACTATCCTTGACTGCATGGAGAAGAGATTCCCCCTAATCTGGATTTACACTGTGGTTACCTCTATAGTCAAAACCCTGCCATAAGTTTTATAAAGGACTTAAGGATCTAGCTCCCTACCCTGCATGCTTGGGTGTCAAGCCAGAGCAGCAGATAAGATGGCCTTCATTTCATTTCCTTTTCTCACCTCCCTCAGGTCCAAGCTGAGCTGAAACGGAAGTGGCGGAGGTGGCATCTGGAGAGGTTCCTGGGCTCTGACATGAAGTATCACCACCCTTCGTTAGGGAGCAACGGTACAAACTTCAGCACCCAGATCTCAATGCTCACCAAGTGCTCTCCAAAGACTCGCCGGTGTTCCAGCTTCCAAGCAGAGTTTTCTTTGGTCTGATGGGACGACCCACCCCAGCTGGGGCCACCCGAGAGCGAAAAAGAGGGAGACCACCAGGACCGTAACATAAGCCAAAAAGTTATTTTTAAACAAGACACTCCCTGTGAGTCAACAAAGGACACAAAACTGGAAAAGCCACTGATGTCCTGAGCAAGAAGGGACAAGCCAGGATGCAGAGATGTGTTTTGTTTTGTGGGGGGGTTTGTTAGACTTTCAACTATAAGCTTAACCCCTTGGTGATGGGGAAACTCATGAATTGGCTACAGTGGCTGTAGCCATCATTGGCTATGATGGGGAAACTCATGACTTGGCTATCAAACGTCTGCATAACTCCAGCAAGCGTGGGGACTGCCGGGGAAGTATCTGATATGCTCATAAACAGGGCGGGGGATATTTCATGAGTTCAGAGACAGCTTCTGTGAAAGCCAGATGCTTTTTTATTTTTTTTAGGTGAGCCAATTGAAAAAAAAAAACAAAAAAAATGTTGCAATGTGCCAAGGGTCCGAGTGGTAAAGGATCACAGTACAAGGAGGAAGGTATCGCAAGTATAGGGACAGCTTACAAGAGACTGCAGGCTCATGCATTTGCAGATGGAGGTACATGAGCTGTCACACCAGAAAGCTCTCGTAAAGCTGGAGTCGGCGTGGGATCTCCATCGCCAATGGTCTGCTTTGCCCACCGAGGTACTACCGCCGACGACAATGCCCCCAGAACGTAGCTTGTTGAGAAGCTAAACTGTGAATGCCCTTTTCTGCACTATACTTGTTAAGGGTGACTCATTTTTATTTTTAACAGGAAACAATAGCTTTGCATGTCTAACATGTTAAAAAAAAAAGGAGGGGGGGGCAAGTGCCAGCTCAGTAGCATGGTTATGTCGTCCATCCCGATTAAGCTGCTGTAAATCTTGGCCTATTATTGCAACAGGACTCTGAGGACTGGGGAAACAATATTGGTTTCTAACAGGTTGGTACCTGAATAAGGCACTCTGGGTGGGAGGTGGAGATAACAAATTCTTGCAGTCTTTAACTGAATTAGACCCATTGTAAGGAACCGCTGTGGAGAACAGAGAATTGTTTTAAGAGCAGCTGGCACAATGATCATCATCAAAATAAAGTCAGATCCACTCATAACTGCCACTGTAGAGATTAGGAAATACCAAAGGAAAGATGATGAAGCTATTACATTGGAACCACTGAAGCAGAAATCAGTCTGTTTTTATCCCTCAATGAAGGCATCGTTAGACCTTTAGAAAACCAGGTCTGCTACATACCCGCCGACTGTTTGCTAACAGCTTTTAAGTTTACATATTGGAAATTACTTGAAGGGTGTCCCCAGCTCCCTGCTTTTTCTTTACAAGCTTGGGGTGAAAATTAGCATTGTTCATACGTGCCAGACTGGCACCCTCTAGAGTCTGAAGTCCTCTGCTCTCTCCAGTCTCAGATCTGCACAAGCCATGGCAGTGCAAGTTTCTCCCCATGTGCCACCGAGTCCTTTGGCAAGGTGTCTCATTTTAATCTCCATAGCCTTGGTCTGATACAAGTGTAAGTCACTTGGTTTAAAATGATGCAACTCTTAAGTTACATCGGTGCATGTTTGATGAGAGGTGGGGCCTGCCGTGGATCTTTCCATAAGAGATGCTCACATTTGGGGATTGAATAGAGCACATCAAAGTGATCTTTCTCAGTGGGCTGGTCTTTGGTCGGGAAAGATTTCTACCACCTTCCCTCCACTAAAAGTAATAGTGCCACATTAAGAAGACGATATGTGCTCATTCTATCACAAGGCTGCCAAATGGAGGTCTCCTAATGTACATCTGGTCACTGGGCGTTATGTGACGGGAATGCCTTCTTTCAGCTTTGCTTGGCAGACGTCATGATTCTGTACCAAGCAACTGCATCATTTCCTGCAGGACAGCTGAAAATCCCAATCATTGAACCAGTCTTCTGTCATCTGCTTTGTGGGTCCCACCGCAGCGGGCCAGACTCATTCCTGGAGCAGTGGCTGATGTGAGTGCCTCCTGTATGTAACCAAGAGCAGGGTTTATGGCTCAGTCCACTGCTGCTCACTCTGATGGCAATGGAGAAACGTCTTTAGGTGCCGACGTCCAACCTATAGGTGGCACTGAGATTCTCAGAAACCCCCATTCAGCTACTGTTTAACTCTGAGAACATTTAAAAGTTTCTCTAATTGGTTTAAATCCCTAACATGAGACCAAACCACCTAGTCCTGACACTGCCAACGTGTCCTAATTCACACCTATGGCCCAGTGGCCATCTTAAACAAGGTACTCCCCTGACCATCTGGCCTACCCAATCCAATCCTGTAGTCATTTTTTGGAACTTGCTTACCAGTGCCAAACTCAAAAAGAAGACAGTGAGGAGCAGATGCCTTCATTATGCCTCATTTTATGGCAAGGATTGAACCCAGGTCTTCCATTTATCAGAGAATGCCCTAACCAATAGGCTATAATTATCCCTGTCCCTTAGTCTTTCCTATTTAACTAGATCCTAGTTATCTTCTGTTTGCTAAACACTAGATTACAGCATTAGTGGACATGTTTATACATGTGCTTTAACGCACAATAGACTTTTACTGTGCATTAAAGCTGCACGTAAAAAACCATGACATTATGCCAATGCATAGTAAAATGGTCTGCACATTAAGCATCACTAAAAAAGAGTGCAAATGCACTACTGTGCATTAGCACAGCCTAAGGCACATTAATTTTGTACCTTATATTGGAGGTACTAAATTTAATGCACGTTAGAAAAGGTGCATGTGTAGACACACCCAGTCTTACTCTTTCTCTGGCCTTGTGAAAATATAAGTACTCTGTCCAGGCTGGAATACAAGAAGTTGGAAGAGTCCCACCCCAGAATACCCAACCACTTTGTATTTGCAACATTCAGCTGGTTCAGCTCCCTGCTCCAAATCAGCCATGGGAGGAGTTTTAACTTGCCCCCGCTGCATCCTCTATGAGTTATCTAACTGCAAAGCAGTGAGATGGAAGGAGGACACCACCGCCACCTCAGTTTTCAACCAGACAATTCCCAACCTGGCCTATATGCTGAACTGCAGGAGAGGGTTCACATCTTCCGGGTGGAGAGAGATGTCTTCCTCCCCCTGGAATTAGGCAACTAATTCCCTGACAGGGTTGGCACTTAAGCCCAAACCTATCTCTGCCCTTTCCAATGGTTTAGATGGATTCCCACTCCTTGTGGATCCTATTCATAAATGCATAACTTGCCCCGTGCATTTTATAACAATCCTATAAAAATCCTAGGTGCCTCCCTCTGGGGGCAGAGCATGTAAATTGAGCATCATACTACAACCCTCAAGTCCATTAATAGACTGAGCCCTCAGACTTGTATTTGGATTTTCCCATCATCCGTGGGCCTCTGGCATTCTAGGCTGAGGTAGAGAATGAGACCCCAAGTGGGGTTGATTCAGTTCGTTAGGTTTATTCCTTCCCAGGGTAAGAGCACGGAAGGAAAAACCAAAATATAAAAAACAGCAACAAAATATTGGAGGTTAGACAGCCAGGCTGTATTCATCATCTTTGGTTCATGCTATAGCTATCTTTGGCCAGATCCTTAGTTGAAGTAAATCATGGAAGTCCCAGAGAAATCGATGGATCTGATGGATCGCTGGCAAGCCCAGTTTATACTGGCTACAAATATCTTAGACACAGCTGAAGCTCTGGCCCATTACCCCTGCTTCTGTTGCTGACTCTTCACTGAAAACAGGCCCAGGATTTCCACTGATAACACTTCTGTACAGAAAAAGCAATAAAGCTTAGAGATATGCAATGCAGGTCCCATCTTGGGTGGGGGAGAAGAAGATTGGCCTCCTTCCCCACCCCCGTGTTTGAGTCCTCTCTTGATGGTTCCCCTCAATGCAACCTTAGGACTTGTGCATTTTTATTTCTGGGCCTTCTGACTCCTTTTTTATAGGTGTGTACCTCTGCTTTGAAAGGCAAATCAACGTTTGCCTCTGCACGTGCAGTAACTCTTTAAGCGGCAGTTCAGCGATCTTCACTGGAACTAGAGAGGCCACTTAGCATAAATGAGCTTGCATTTAAGAAATGCATTGAACAAGGATGATTAGTGATGTACCTAGCCAAAGGACCACATCCATCCCCTGATCCAAGCCTGCCATTCCCTATGTTAATCACTAAGGAGTTCCATAGGAAAACCCGAAGTCAGAATGCAGCCTAAACTCAACTCCTCACATCTGAACAGTTCAAGACGCATTACCAGATTTTGATACCAAGGCTATGAGGCCTCCAAATGCCATATTCGCAATTACTTTCTTGTGCAGCATCCAACTGGATCCCTATGATATTGTCAACCTAATATTCTGAGAAGAGAGCGTTAAGTTCATGTCTGCTCAGACAGGCATAGCAATACTTGTGATGCAGACAATGTAAAGCTGGCAGGTCAGCTGTGTTGGCCTCGTATTAAGATATAAGATACAGCAGTTGAGTCTAAATAGTTGGGCGTGATACGACAGACATTACAGTGAATGGAATGACTTGCCAGCTGCATTTGACTTGGATCTGGCCATGATTTAGCTCTCTCATGTTGGGAATTGAACCATACAACTTTGCCTTCTTTGGTCACAGCCTGTGAAAAAGTCAGGAACCTTGTGCAATTCAGATAAACTGTATGAATGATATTGTCCTAGGCAATTGCGGAAGATAGCTATAATCCAGTATTCTTAAATCAAATGACCCTTTATACATCATAATCCTGATTGCAGTTACTCTGGTATAAGATGGGAATAACACCACCGAGTTACAATGGTGCCCGTAAGAAAAGAATCGAGAAAAAAGCAACTAAATACCTTTGAGGGTCTGAGCCTGTCTTTGGGACTCTTGAAATTCAAAAGCAAAGCCTGATCTCAGTTATATTAAGGATATTTTGGTGGAATAACTCCTGATTTACACTGAAGTAACAAATTTAAGAAACTAACCCAATCATAATGGCAGCCGGCTTCCTGCTTATACCACCATGAGATCAGAATCTCTCTCGTGAATTAATGCTCCAAACACCTCAGTGATTAAATAGAGCTTAGCATCCCAATTTGGGATATAGAGAGGCTGAGGACCAACAGGTCAGCTGTTTGGCAAAGGTCAGAGAGGTCTTCAGTAGTGATGTAATCTAGGCATTGCTAGCTCGCAGTCCTGAGTTCTAACCATTAGGCTCTTTTCTCCTCTAGAGCAATAAGAAATGAGCTGGCTATATCCTGGGACTAACAATAGTGTTGTAAAGAAATGACAGGCTCTGGATAAACTTCAGGTCATTCAGCACACTTGGTCATGAAGCCTTGATCCTTGCCACAGAAGTACTCCATAGGGTTTGTTATCAGTGTGCTATCAGGAAAATGGCAGCAAAATCCAAACACGTATAAACACATGTTATTCTGGGAGTGGTGCAGCTGCAGTTGGTACCTGTAAGGCATCACCAGAGAAGTGACACAGTGAATTGGCTTGAGAGGTAACTGAACATTACATTTCATTCACAGTTCAGCTCAGTGGCCAAGATAGCACTGACTTGTGTGCACATCAAAGAACAAGAATTAAAAAAAAAACGAGCCAGGCCAATACTTAAAAACCTATGGTGACAAGTGGTTTACAAACCCTATGACAGGTACATGCATGTCAACTAATGAAAGACAGTCTGTTATTGTATAAAGTAACCTCTTTATAAGAGGGGACAGAACAGGTATGGACAGATTTGACCTGCCTAGATTCAACAATCTAAAGTTGTTGAATCAAAGCCATGGTCCTTAGTGAGGAGGCGCCTTGTCCCCCTCAACCATCATCTCTTCCA